ACTTGTCAAAACACGATGTATTTATGACCAAGTTCCTGCCTGCCTGTTCAAAGGCCCTTGAACCCCTGCCAGATCCTAAACATGCTCCGATTCCCAGGAGTTATATTCAGCACAATAAGTGGATATTTCACAGTAAATATTGCCTTGGCAGAAAGCTGGCATAAGCACCCAGTTGACAAGCAACAATTGGCTGCTTTGTATGGGTGCTGCGAGGGCTTGTCTCGCCATCCGTGGCAGCGCTCAGGACCAGAAATTTCTGCCAGGCTCCAGCCGTCGTTAGCATTAGGAATTAGAAACGCTTTAAAGAAAGCTGCAGATCGTTGAGTCTCAGCGGCCTCCATCTGAACAGTCAGCAGAAGGAATTGGAAAGTCTCGATGATTAATCACAAACACAAAAGCTGGCTGCTGGCTGACAGTAGGTATCCGCTCTTCTCCAAGGAACCCAATTCATCAGCGTTATTTGTGATTCATAACGGTTATTTGAGGCACCCTGCGCTTGTGTGAGATTACAAACCAGAAATGTTAATTATTCTTCGGCAGCGTGGTGTAGGTTGTAACACCCGTGCAGCACCTGTAGCCTGGGCTCCGTACTGCAAGGAGAGGGATGCTCTCGAGGGCAGGGATGTGCTGTGTCCCGGGTTTGCACGGTGCTCAGCGTGGTGCGGCTCCAAGCCACGTCTGGAAAACAGCAAAGGTTGGGATGAAGAGAGGGAAATGAAATGATTTATTGGACTTGCCGTCTGTGTGACTGGGGTTTATCATCGCCGAGGATGGCTGGCAGTGCACCAGAGAGCGTGGGCTTTACGTGTGGTCTTACTTCTAACGAGAGCTTACACCCTCAAGGTACACAGTCCTGACTGGGCAGGGGTCTGGCTGGATAGACCGGAGGGGATACAGTCCTCAGCCATCACCTGTATTCACACAGATCATTAACCCTCTGGAAACAGAGGTGCAAATGGGGGTGGAAAGTCATCTCCGAGATGCCCATCTTCAGGCAGATGCAGACCCGGAGGAATTATTTGCATTTCCATGTGAACCCTGGCTGGGGAGTTGTTTGAGTGGGAGTGAATCGGGTGCGGTGGGACGGGTGTCCATGATGAACCCCAACCCGGTGACCCTCAAAGCTGATAAACCTTGGGGAGAGGGAATGGGTTTGGGACTTGGAGAAGGGCTGCCCCAGGTGACCCTGGGATGGGGTGTGGTGTGAACCCCAGATCCTCTGCTCTCGTGGCCAGACAGGTAGCAGCTGAGACAGACTAAAGAGTGATCTTAGCCTAGAGATAAATTATGGGTATCATAACCTTTTCTTTCCATCTTACATCTGAAAATTTGATCTCAACTTGATTTTGGAAGAGTCTTTGCTAGGTTTGGAATATTGAACCCACCGGCTGCCCAGAGACTAGGGGTCGGGATGGGGGCGATGAGCAGAGGCGCAGCTGATCTCAGCAATAAGATTAAAACCCAGCAAAGCAGCATTGGTGCTGGTGCTCCCGGGAACGGTGGGGAGACCCTGCTTCCTGCCAGCACTCTCCACCGTGAAACCCAGCGGAAGCTGAGGACGTGCCCTCTGCATTTCTGCACCGCTCCCCCGAGCTGGAACAGCAGCACCATCTCAAACTCTTTAGCAGATGGAGCTTCAGGAGCATTGCACTTTCTCCAACCTGCCTTAATTAATTGCTCTGATTTGCATGCTGACTTCTGCTTGCACTTCCCACCTTTCCCTGAGAAATGCATTTCAAATCTGTATTCCTGTCACTGCTCCCTTTTGCTTTCTGATCCTGTTTGCTTTGTTAGCGGCTTTGATTCCTGAAACTTCTCTTTGAGGAGTTCTTGTTGAGGGGAGTATTTATATTTCCTAGGACTTGAGCAGAAAAAGTCAAAGCAGGCAGGGACCCTAGAACGTGTAATTACTGTCAGATCCGATCCGCCGTTTTGGTTAGGAAAGCATGTTGTGCTCCAGGAAACACCCAGGTTTGAAAGCTTCAGATCCTTCTAATCTGCTGTTCTGTTTGGGGGGGGGAGGAAATGTGCATAACATCTGGTCTCTATCATGCAAGAGGTACTTTGAAATTTGTGTGCTATTGCCAACTTATATCGTCCTTTTTGCGCATATCACACGGATCAGATAAGCCTTTAATACCAGTGGATTGATGATTTATATCGCACCGACGCGTGCCATCTCTGCTTCTCCATCTCTCACGTGGGGAGCAAGTACTTGACTGCTGCTTTTGGAAACAGAAAAGTGGCTCCAGGTTTTAATACCAGTCACTTTCCAGGAATAAAATGAAGTTTATTTCATTTTGCTGTCCTGCTCTTGTTGCCCTGAACGTCCTCTTAAGTTCCTGTTCGCTCTGCTATTGCCCGTGAGTTAACTTTATGAGTCCCCCACCTTCCCCTCTTCCTGCTCTGTAATAATTCTGGGTTTATGTGCAGTTTTTCTTGGGAGTTGTCAAAGAATAATTACACCCCATTAACTCCACTTTGTATCATTACTAATTCACACCTATAGAGTATTTTCCAAGAAACTGATCTCCGTTGTCTCTTAATTGCCCAAGTCCATAAACTCTGTTACACTGAAACTGTGCTAAGGATTTGCACCCTCTAAAACTTTTCCCTCCAGTGCAAAACATAACAGAGAATCTGAACGCGGCAGCTTTATCAGATCTTATTTCTTCCCAATTTAAGCAACTTATTTGCTTCTGGCTCTGTTGAAGACTAGAAAATGGATATTAAGATGTAAAAGGCGAGAGACTAGAAGCACAGTAAAAGCATAGATCGTGTTCCCAATGGATTCATCCAGGTTTGTGTTGCTGGGTGATGTTGCGTGGTTGGCTGAGGCTGAAGACTGAGCGCTATCCCCCTCTTGCCTGTTCCGGTGGGTCAGAGCCAAGTACCCTGTGTACGGTCTGAGATCCAGCTGCGTCGAAGGTGCTTGGACTCGCAGTGATAGGCACTGACCTGGGATGCGGATCTGGAGCTAGGCTGGGCCCTGCGGCAGCATCCTCTGGGACGCTTCCCGAAGGACTTCACCTGCGAGGGACTGGGCACTGGTGGAAGAAACCCAGTTTTTCTGGGTGCCCCCAGCACGGACCCTGCCTGCCGCATGCCCACTGGGGCTGGGTGCAAGCACGGTGGTTGTTAGCTGAAATGGCAGCCTTGTGCAGCACAGTCCTGGTGGCTTCTGGAGTCAGAGCCAAACCCAAGCCCTTGCCAGGGGTGCAAAGCGGGCAGCAGGAACAGCCAGATGCACTTTTACTAGTTTATTCAGATGAATGTGATTAATAAGCAGTTTCACCCAGGTTTAACCTGAAGCTTAGTGCGCTCTAAAACAAATCACCCCCAAATCATCCTACCTCAAAGGATGCAGTAAGTATGCACCCCTCAGTGTACAGGTGCTAAAGCACTTGTCCCTGCCCAACCGAGGAGCTCGTCCCCGCACCCCGCCTCAGAGCTGAGTCCTGCCCCAGTCCTTGGGCATCCCGGGCAGAGCATACGGAGCTGCGGCCATCTCTGTGCGGGGTCAGCAGCTTCGGCAAGGAAAGGAAAGGCTCAGTACCCGAGTCCTGCTTGAGCCTGTGCAGGGAAGCTCAAGCTCTCTTCAGATAACGAATGGTTTCAACTGAGTGTAAAAGAAAAAAAATACTGTTGGTGGCAACTCTTATTTCCCTGGAAAAAAATCCTGGACCGCTGGCAGAGAAACAGTTTCTGCACAGAAAACATGACACTATTTACAAAAAGCCATGGCTAATATCCTTTTCCAGCTTGGAAAGAGGAGTTTATTTTAATACATCCTTTTTTAATTGCCATGAGCTGGACTTGTAAATATTGTAAGTGGTTGAGTAATAGTAATCCGTGAGCGGACCAAATGAAGGGACGTTTTTTCCGCTCTTGGAGCCCTTATTCCCGCAGCTTGGGCTTGGACAGGGGGATAGCACGGAGCAGATACTAAACCAAAACAAAAGCCTCCTAATTAAAAGATCATTTAACCCCAGAGGATGCCTGCGTGGGTGATGCCAGTGCCTGGGGCGTGCAGTGGTCCCGCTGGCCCAGGAGGAGTCCATGTCTTGGGGCTGCTTAGGGAGGTGGTGGGGTGACCCCAGGGATCCAGTCCGTTTTCAGTAACGCATTTCTTGCTCTCCTCTAAGAAAGAGAAGAGAAAGTGGAGAATTCTACCCAAGAAAGGAGAAACGAAGGAAAATTTGTTTTCTCTAGCAGGTGTCTGAGAGCCGTGTTGCCTTATCGCTATCCTTTAGTTGAGAGAGAAAATGTGCTTTGCTGGTTTGCTGGATCAGTCTTCAAAACAACATGTAACTTTTTTTTTGACACCATCCTTCTGCAGAGCAGCACAGTGTGCCTGAACTAAAAAACAGTCATCAGGTTCTGTAAGGTTGCGTTAGTCATTAACTTCTGCGTATCAACCGGTAGGGCTTGGGGGCAGGATAGAGCCCATGTGCTGTGTGGTGGGGCAGAGCACGGTCAGGCTCTCTTTAATGATGGTTGAGCTTCATTCTCCCAAGTCAGGTAGCATAGCTGAAAGCCGTGCTTTTGCGCTGCAAATAGTTTTGTCTGAAAGCAGGACTGGTTTGTATTGGAAACAATTTCCTGATGCAATTTGGATTTCCTTCTGAATAATCCTTTGCCCCAGTGGGATGGTACAGAGGGATTCTAGAGAAGCTTAACTGGCCTTGCCATGAGTTAAACATATCCCTTAATCTCTGTAAGGCAGATGTTTAAGTAGGAAGATACCCTACAGGCACTCTTAACAAAAATAATAACTTGAAGGGTCAGGAAGAGGAAGAGCTGCTCTGCCAACGTGGGGTTTGAGCCCACATCGCTGTTCAGGTAGTTGGTGTGCAGGGAGGGGTCTGGTGAGAAGCTTGCATGGGGGAAAATCAGTCTCAGCTGGGAGGAGAAGCAGGACTCAGAGAAAGAATTTAACTGCAAAAGACCAATTGTTGAAGGTGAAGGCAGCAACCTTAATGCTGTTTCATCTTTTCCAGGAATGCTGGTGGTGATTGTGTTGCTGCTGATCGCGATTGCTGTGGTTGCTGTCTGGCCAACGCAGTAATGCAGATCTGGGGCCCATCGGAGCTGCTGCTTGACAGCTGAGCGTGGAGGACTCCAGAGAAGAGACTGACTTTGTGCAAAGACCTTCTGTCTTTTAAATAAACTCAACAGTATGAGAATGAAGCTGTGTCCGACAGACGTCCCTTCTTCCTTTGGTGCACAGCTGAAGAGCACTGCCTGATTTGGAGGGTTGGAACTTGAAAAGGACG